TTGAAGCCCTTATCATTTTTATTATTTTCATTTTCTTCCAGATCGTTATTTTTAAAATGTATGTATTGTTTAATTTTGAGATACCGATTTCTGGGCATACATTTCTTCACAATATCAACTCCAAGATCTTCTTCTTCCGACCAGTATATTCTTTCAGACGACAATTTGTGATAACCTACAGCAAATCGTGCATGATGTCAAAACTGAAATTTTCCTTAACACGAAAGCTTGGAAGAGTGTTAAAAGTAGAGTCTTCTTTTACTCCACTTTTTTATTCGAAGCGATTCAGGAACAATTTAACATCATGTTCATAGTTTTTTTGTTTCTAAATTTATTTTCATGCTCTTTATGGTCATGCCTCATTTGTTCAATACAACGTTTACATAAGCGACAGTAAAAAGTGCAATTAAAGGATTTAGAAAATCCTAAAATTCCATTTAGGCCCAAGTTGTCCCCAACGATTAAACTCAAGCTAAAGTAAACTTTTTCTTTTCTACCATCATGTAACTGTATGTTAATCCTAAACTAAATTATTCTATAAGTTTATAAAGAACGTAATTATTTCCAAAAAATTTTAAATCTTTACTTTTCAACAAACCTGCTAAAAATATGTGCTGGAGTTTAGATAAAAACTGAGAAGGAGCAACAGGAATTTAGAAGTACGCCGCGCACAGAGATTTTGAATAAGGACCTAAGACATTATCAATTCCAAAATCATCAAAGTACAAAAATATCGGAAAAACTGTTCTTCCGGCAAATTTAGACTTTTTACTTTGCCATAAGATACCATTTACAACATTTTCTAAAGAACTTTTTGATTCCAGATAATGCATATTTTTTTAAACAAATCATACAGTCCAGGTAGCTCAAAATATTTTTTTAATTGAAAGCTAATAGGCATTAAAACACCTATTATTTTTCTTCAGCGAGAGTTGGTTTATTACAATGAATAATTTCACTTAACTCATTATTTATTGTAACAAGTTTTGAAAATTTGAAGAGGTTATTTTCTGTTAAATATTTGAAAAATTTGTATTCTGTTTTATTAAATAAAAACAAATCGCCCACTTTTTCCAAAATATTGTTAAAAATTATCTCCAAGGTTTTACTATCTTGAAAAACGTTAATTTATTTACATATTTCTACTATATCTGATAATATTGTTTTACTAAGAATTTCTTAAACATGGAGAACATCCTTACGATTAAAACTATATCTGTTGTGTAGTTGTGAGTAAATTTAAGGGCAGAATTTTTTCCCTTTGTATAGGTACCATTAAGGGTATTTTCATTCCACACGTGAATTATTTTGTTGTGCATTTTATTGCTCCAAGGAATTTGCTAAAGAGTTCTACGTTTCGCGTATCTTTAGCAGCTTTGAAAATAATATATCGAAAAAAGTCGAAAATCGCGTGACGTAATATGTGAACGTGGAATTCAGTTATATTCCTTGGCTACCAAGTTAAATGTATCTTTTACTTTATATTAATAGGAATTCCTCCCTTACTTCGATAAAAAAAAAGAAATTCTATATTTACTCATAATCTTTTTTTTTAATAAAATTCCGTTTAACAAAATCACAATTTTTATGCAAAAATAAAAAAAACAAAAATAAATCCTTTTATAACCTTAAACTCCAGAGAGTTAGTCCGTTCGGGAGTCCAGTCTAATCCCGCAATTCCAGCAGAATGTGAACTCGCCCCGCGACTTGGTCGCAGTTGCGGGCTTCACACCCCTGGTTGCAGCGGCAGAGGCGGGTACGGAGATAGAGGAGGTTTTCCCAGTGGAAGCCGGCAGTTTCTGGTGGCAGCAGGCGGTAGACCGTACTCCCACGAGTCCACAGTCGCTGCAGAAACATGCGTTCCTGATATGTCCGGGTCGCCCGCACCTCCAACAAAGCTTGGAGGGGAGGGTTACGGGGAGGTAGGTGTTGGATTCCTATGTGCGAATCCCCTTGGGGTACCCCTGGAAGGCCACGTATAAGGAGACCGGAAAATTATGCCGCCCCACCGTGGTTTTTTTCTGGTAGGGGGTGATTGCACGGGTCGGGGGCGGTTTCTGGTAGCGGCTGCTGGGACGGAAGAAGTGGTCGGAGCTGCGACGAGCCTGCGGCTATCCTGGGGGATTACGGTAAATAGGCTTTCCATTTTTTTTTGCTGTAAATCATTATTTGCTACAGTCGAAACCTCATACCGCTACTCACTTGTGATTATTTCAAAGTTTTTAATTTCTGCGTTTCCTTATTCTCTCCACTGTTTTTCATCAGAGTTAAACTGTAAGCTACATCATGGCAATCTTTTAAAAGAGTACCCGTATTGCTTGCTAAAGATGGTTTCTCCATATGTTTTTGTTTCAGGATTATATTTAGAAATAATTTTGCTGGATTCAACAAGTACATCAAAATTTATAGGATTTAGTTAGTTTTTAATTTTAATTTTTTTTCTAAGCAGAGTCGCTAATTGCCTCATTTTTCTCGAAGCCACCAATCGAAACTGTTTATCTCGATGACTTTTTAAGTATCTTCTAGCTACAGCGCATATTAATATATCGGTTTTTGCTGCAAAAGATATTGCATCTGCTCTAATTACAATGACTGTCCTTCAGATTGTGCATTGAATCTCAGTGACTTGTCATCATAATTATGAGGACATTTTTTGGTATGCTTGTGAAGATACTCCTTTTTATAAAAGCCTTTGCAGTATTTGCATGGCAGGTATGATGATGAACATGGTGCTTCTAAATTTAGAAATGCTGGTATATTTGGTTACTGGTACAATATCTAGTACTTTTTATAAAGTTCCGCGTATTTCTTAGTTTATTAAACAAATTTTTTCTTTGTTTGCTGCCTTTTTTACCAGCAAAGGTTTAAAGGTTTTTCTTGATCTTAAATATTAAGAAATACCAAGATTAATAAAGATCTTTCAATAGATTTAAAAATTAATTTTTATACACAAAAAAAATTCTATCAAGGCAAAATTTTATTAAATGATCATGGTTAATGGACCTGACACAAGCCATCCTAACTTTGATATATTGTGATTTAATATTATTTGACCTACACATGTCTTCTTTGCTTGGAATATTAACCCTTCTGGGACTTCTTAGGAAGTAAGGGTGGAACTAAAAGAGCATTAAAAGAGCACAATGCGCGATTTTTTGTATTATCCAAATTAAAAATTTTTGTACGTATGGGAATATACAGAAACTATAAAAAATAATAAAAAAAATTCCAAATCGTGTCGTACTAAATTTAAGACAAAGCGTGTTTATTACTATGGTGACAAAGTACATTTCCGGTATTTAACTTTTATGGAATTGCACAAAACAGTTGTGTTTTTTATTAAGGCATAAATATACACCACATTTGCTGCACTTTAATTGAGAACAACATTTACAAGTGGGAAACTTGCACCGTTGCCTCTCTGTGGTATAAATAGGCCAATGAGATTGCCCATCCATTTTAACGTCCTTTGGTGGGATATATGATGTTGTCGCAGAGCGTTTTTTTTTCTCTGCAATTTTGTTTTCAACATTAGATGGTCTTCCCCTTTTGGATATCCGTTCGGCAAAGGCAGTCAGCAATTTCTGCCCTAAACTCCGCTAACTTAAGTATTTTCTCTTCATTTCTTTGGGTGGCAGCTAAAGTAACCAAGCATTGACCAAAGTCATATCCAATAAATGGTAGAAGAGTCGCATGTACCATTTTTTGCTGCGCATAGGGTGTCTAAGAGGTCCACACCTCCCATGTGTCTGTTGTATTTCAAAACAAGATTCGGATATGAACTATCTCCAGACTTCTTTTGCTTTTTGTCGAAACGCTTCACTGTATCCTTCGGAAGCTCTCCAGTGAATGTAGAAAGCAAAGAAACGTTTTTGTTGTCCTTCCAAGCGACGGAGGTTACATCAACAACTTCAAAATTACAAACGTACTCCCAAGAACTTCTTCGATCACTTTTTTTCATGATATCATCGGAAGGCAATTTACAGTTAGGAATTCAATTTCCAACCCAATGAAAATATTCCTTTGGAAGCCAAAAATGACATGAGTGAAAGGGATGTGTAGTAGTTCAAGTAGTCAAAGTAAACTACGTAGTTTAGATTATTAGGAACAACTCTGCATAAACGTATAAAAGTATTTGAAGCAGCCCCTAAATCTGGTTCGTCAGGTAGTCTATCCTTCGGTAAGTTTTATGACCCTGAATATATCTCAAAGTTATACGAAAATCCACTGACTCCGGAAAGGGCAAATAGTTTCTATCCCCACTTATGGGGTTTTGCAGGCATGTATTGCTTCAAGTGATGTCTGGCCTTTGTTGCGCATAATTGCTCATCCACTGATAATTGCTGCTCTAATGGGATACTTTGATTGAAGAGCATCTATTACAGGTCTCAATTTATAAAGCCTATCATGACTGTTATTATCTTTTGCCAGCATGTTTAGATTATCATTGAAATGTATTGCCATTCGAATTGCTTTGAAATGTTTTTGGCACATTGCTTCTTTTATATTGAAAAACCCCAATCGAGGGCTCCAAAATGATCTTGCATTGGGCATGTATACGATGGACAAACGCCTAAATACTTCTGCAGCTCAGCAACTGTGATCGTTGTTGTCTTGTAGATATCCTTTTGAATCAAATACAAATTTGCTCCTGGACATTTTTTTGCAGCAATTATCATCAAATATTTGAAAAAAGCGAAAGGTGTTCCAAGATCCATCAACTTGGCTCCAAGTTTCTCACTACCTATGAAAACTTTAGCGTCGTTATTCAAAATTAGGTTTCCTTTCTTCCACACAACTCTCGAAAGTTTTTTTTTAATATTTTTATCTATCCCCCGGTCATTATCAATTTCACCATTAGCATTATTCGGAACTGTGCGTTTCAATAATCTGAGCCTCTTTGCTAAGCTCGTCTTCATTATCAGTCCTAGTTTCTTTATCGACTTCATATTACAACAAAAATCCATCATCAAATTCGAGGTAGATTTTGAATTTCAAACTCATTTCCTCTTCATCCTGCTGGACTTCAGAGTCTAATTCGTCTTCGCTTTCTGACAGGTGTTTAAGACAGTACTCTAATTCGGCTTCAGACAGGTACTTTTTTTTCCAAGGCATAATCTGAAGTAAAAATTTGAAATTAGAAGCAAAACAATACGTCGTTTCAATTCATTTTTTATTACGAAAAATAACAAAAAAATATGTCTACCAAACACGCTAAGTCTCAAATTTGTTACCACCAAAAATAATGTTCATTTCTATCAGATCCTAAAAAAATGAAGATCTAAACTATAATTTAGTACAAACATTTTACCTTTGTCAAGAATATACTGATCAATCGGCAATATTTTCAGCAAAACCCACACAAATACACAATATCAGCTTACTTGTTTACACCAAGTCAAGTCGCACAGCGTGTTTTCAACCGTCTAAAAACGAAACTGGAATCATGCTTCGAATATTGATCCTTATGCACAGCGTACATACAGCGTATAGGCGTCTTAAATTTGGACGAAGCGTTTCATGCACGTATATTGAATCTTTAACTGATTTAATGATGAAAATAATGGGAGGTCTTAAATTTGATACATTGCGCATTGTAGGGTAGTAGAATAGCAATGCGGTTCCTGGCTCACTATTTCCGTTTACCGCCAACAGATGGCGCCACCAGTCGCGTCCGCCATCTTGGTCGGTATAGTAGAAATCTATTTCCGTTTTGAAAAAGGTAAACAGAAACCTGTAATCTTAAGTTATGTTTGCTTAAGTAGATCCTCTATTATTAGTTTGAAGGTTTGCGACTAATGCATAATAGATGGCGCTGATGCAGATCTCAAATGCTTTCAGAAGGTGCTCCTGTACCCCCATTAAGAACTTTGAGCCTCTTCTAGTAATAGGGCAGCCCCCTAATTCTAACCTAACAATCAAATAATGTATGGTTTCCGCAAATAATGGTATAAATAGCATACAGCGCCCCCTCATGGAGTAGAAATCTACTTTAATCCGTAATGGGTACAATTTAAAGAACGGTGGATGGTTGTAATTCCCAGGCGGGAATTTTAAAGTTTGCTAAATAAAACCAATATAATGTTGGATTTTTATTAATTTATATTACACATTAAATAAATATATAAAATAAACTAGACATATAATTCTGCAGTACCTAATCAATAAAAACAAAACCTAGACAAAAACATATATTAACACCAAAAAAAATTAAATATTATACAGATTATAAATATAATAAGAAAATTAAATTAACATAATACACTTTATATATATAAAATAAATAATATATATAATTCTACAACACAATCAACAAAAACTAGTACTAAAATTATGAATAACAGCAGATAATCAAAACATACAGTAATTATAATAAATTAAATAATTTATATATTATATAATGCTTGAAAAATTGTTATTTAATTATGACTTATACTATAATGTCCCCAAGGTAGTGTATCATGTGTGCTGTTTTCTAAAAGATTCTTTTATCATCAAAGGAGCTTAATCCAATTTTTTGTTGTTTAATGCTATAAACATACTGGGTAATAGACTTAATTGAATTTTGACTTATAATTTTATCAGTTTTTGTATTTAAACAATCGAAATAGTCTTGAAATGTTATCACATTTTTAACAACAGTATTTTTAACACCTTTAGATTTTTTAACACATTTTTCCCCCTCAAATTTAAAATCCTACCATTTAATTCATCTTTCATCAGCCCCGGAATTTTTTTATTTACCAAGGGAATATTCCACTGGTTATTTTTTGAATAATCACTCGTATCAAATCTATGTATATTCTCACGAATAACTTCTCCATATGCATCATTACAGATAAATTCATATACCAAACTATCAGTATCCATGTATAATAATTTTGCGTTGTTGAATTTAGATAAAATAAAATCATAGTGAAAATCATATACACATGTTTTCGATATATCTAGAATTGCCATGCCTATGTATAAAGGTTTGTTAAAATATAAATTAGTTTTACCAAACTCTACAGCAATAAGATTTTCATTAAAAATAGTTCGGTTTTGAAAATTTGGGCTGGCAATTAAATTTTTAGCGCCATATCGACCTTCCCATCTATTGACTAATTTAACAATTCTATGCTTTCTAATGTTTTCCATAGTTTTGCCAAAGGCTGAATTATTTTGAAATTTGAATAGATTCTTTTCAAAATCATTTTTTGCATTTTGTCGTAAATTTGTGTTTAATTCTATATAAGGCTTTAACCAGGGTGATTGTTTAAATTTTAAAACACGATGTATTTTAGTTAATATAATATTAATCCGTGTGAAAGAGCTTGTTTTAAATTACGATAGTGAATAATATATTTAGATTTGTTAGTTAGGGTGGTCATTAGTTTAGGTAATTTCGAATTTGGTGGTTTTTGATGTTCTGGACAAAAGGGTAAGTCTTTGTGCATGTCATGTCAATGCTGTGGGTATTCCAAGTCAACTTCTAAAAAGTATCCAATAGGTGAAACATCTGATACATTAAAATCATCAAATTTTTCATGATTTTTAACCCACTCAAACCCATCATGAGGTAAATATTGAGACATTCCCCAGGAGTAAAGAGAATTTACATCGAAATAAAGTAAATATTTGGAGGGTTTTGATAGATCAAAATTAGCCATATATTTGTTGTTTGCCTCCGAATATTGGTTAAAGCATTGACTCACACCCCCGCGAATATCTTTTTCAATGAATAAGATCATATCAACATCTTTTAGTATTTGTAAACGGCATTGAGTATACTTTAACATACAATCCCAGGTATATCCAGGTAAAGTATAGTAATGTGCAGGGTCAAGCCTATATGTTTTAAAGGAACTGTTGCGAAATTGTTTGAAAACATCAGCTAATAGTAAAATATCTGTTTTCAAGTAAAGATCTAAATATTCACCTAAATTTTGACAACCGAATTCTCGCCAGATATGCTGAGCATGCGCATAGTCATTTTCCGAAATATCACAATCATTAAGTTTGTTGTAAAAAGCTGATTTTTCAGGTAGACAAGGAAAATCTAATTTTTCTTCGGAATCTACAAAGTCATAAGGAAAAACACCCTTGCGCTGTAAAAGTATTAAGTTATCATTAGACAAGTTTTTAAATTCCTTTCTTAAAATTGGATATTCAGCTAAATAAGATGATAATTTATCTAAACTAGAGGCCATAAACCTAAATGAATCAATAAAACGTAATTTTATGAATGTTTCATTATCATAAATAGTAAAGGATATGTATTTTTCTTTATTTATTAGTAAAAGCGATATTCTACTGAAGTTAGCAAGATCTTTTATTAAGAAATGGCTATCATAATTTGTTAAATTGTGAAATACAACTGGTACCATAAATGTATATTTGTAATTTAGGTTGCAAACCCGATGTGCAAACCCACGGAATTGTCCGTTTTGATAATTATGATCTCTGACAATTACATCACCCTGAATAAAATCTTTATTACAAATATGACACTTTTTAGCGTTCTTTAAATCAATATCGACATTCATGGGTATGTTACCTTTTAATTTTAATTGAACAAATTTAGCAACCTCCTTTAATTCATTTGCAAACCACTCTATACAATCTAAACCGCGATATCTTTTATAAAAGGATAAAGTATCGTCATAATCACATTTAAAATAATATGCAGCGCTAAAGGCTTTATGATGCTGATATTTAGATGTTTTTGTTGAATTTTCATTATCCATAATAGGTAAAAGTATTGACTCAAAGTCAGCATACATAACAAAAGGTACTTTTTGATGAAATTTTAAATTTAAAAACTCTACATAATATTCTTCTGGAAACGAAATTTTGCAATCATTTAATTTTTGACAATATTCTTCATGCTTATCCAATTTTATTTGATTATAAAAATAATTTAGACACCTATCGCATATAAATAATTTACTCCTATTTTTAGTAAGCTGAGTCCCTACCAGTTTAGGTAAATTTTTTATCCAAACGTAATGATACTTTATTTCACTATCATCTGCTATATCTAAAAATGGTTCTCTATCAGACTGCTTAGGGAAGTAAATATGTTGAATTAAAAGTAAATTAACGTGCTGAACTAATTTATTAGAAGTAAGCCTCACAGGCACAGTATTTTATGTAAAGCCTTTATTTGAATTAACTAGTTCCAGACCGTAAACATTAATGGATATTGAATTTAATTTTTCAAATTTAGTAATGTCAGTCAGTTTTATAGGGAGCTTAATATTTGCAATATTTAAAATGTCTCCATAGAAAGGATACGAGGAGCATCTATTACTATTCTTATTTACCCTATGCAATGCCGATATAAGAGCCCAAGCAAAGCAATTATTGTCGACATTTTTTACATTAACACAAGCGTGCTTTCTCGCGATCTCTTCCGGTAATTTAATGTAGGACGAACCATTTCCCAACTCATGTTTATTGATATTAATTTCTAAATTCAAAATTTTATTTATTCCCCACCCAGATTCTTCCTCAGCAAACTCACTTAATTTATTCAAAATTTTATCTACAACATTAACACTAAACCAATTTTTAAAATCTACCCCACTATCTATCACTGCGTTTTTCGTGTTAAAGTATTTAATATCATTAATTGTATGGTCCCCACTCTTTTTTATAAATTCAGCAGCAAAGCAAGCATTAGCTTTTATCATAGGAAATTTTTTTAAACATTGCACACTCTTGATTTAAAGAGGAAAAATGCATCCTGTAAAAATTGATTAATATCAATATGCTTTAAATTAATTATTATGCCTGTACGAATTCGTGATTGAAAAGCACTACTTAAATCCTTCCATTTTATCCTACTACCCCTAGTATTTGTATTTACTCCACCCCCCCTCACAACATTTTTAGCTTTAAGTGTGTTTTGTAAATGCTTAATCTGACCTAAATTAGTTATTAGATTGCGTTGTGTACCTACAGAATTTTTATGTTTTTTAATTAGCTTATTGAAACTTCGTATGTTCTTCCTTATGTAACCTAGCCAAATAGATTTCTCATCATCACTACATTTTTCATCCAATATTTTACAAGCAGCTCTTAACTTGTTGCTAATTTCGGTGCTTAATTGTGCTTGAGTTGATTTAAGATCCATCTTTTCCTAAAAACAAAAATATATTAATTAATTAATTAAAAATAAGCAATTTAATTTTGTGCAATTTTACAAAAACTTCTGAATTGTTTTTAAACAGACCATTTTGAAAATAAAAAAATGTTTTAATCCTATATTTAATACTATATTTTTTATATTCAGGGTGTCCCAGTGCTCCGTAATCGGTCCATATTTTTTTTGCTATTAAAGATATCGATATGAAATTTTTATATAAAATATGGATCGATTACGGAGCACTGGGACACCCTGTATATAATAGAAGTAAAATAAAAGAATATGCAATAATCATGATTACTAGTTAGCAGGCAAAATTGTTTACCATTTCTAAAATATTATTACCCTCAGTGTTGCCAGATGGAAATTCTTGTCAACAGTAGGAAAGTAGCCAAAAAAACAGGAGATCACTTTTTTCAACAGGAGATTTAAAAAAAATATATTTTTTTATAGAGGAACACAAGTACACGCACAAACCCATATAACACAAATATCCCGGGGACGTCCAATGGATGTCCTCTGAAGGTCCAATGTTCGCATGACGTCCATGGGACGTCCGCTGGACATTTTGTGTGCTGAGAAATATAAAAAAATATAATAACATAAATAATAACATATAAACGCGAATCGTTGATTGTGTACATAAACTGAGTAACAGAATATATAACAAACAAATTAAATTTTAAATATCACATAAGATGTAGGTATAACATCAAAAACTCCATAAATGTAATTGTAATGTAATTTAAACAAAATAAATAGGTATAAATACAATTTTATTAATAATAAAATCAAACAAAAACTAAATCACGGACCGTGACAAAATTAAAAAAATTATTCTGGCTCTGAATCAGTTAGCTCCAATGATGCTTCTTTGGTGTTCTTTGATAAATACTACGCAAACTGCGCACGCGTAAAGAACGGTTAGGGATCGTAATTCAAAGGAAGTCGAACGAACCGAACCAAAACAAACGAAAAACCGCGCAAATTTAAATCAATGCTATTCACCGTTCATACGGACCGTCGACGCTGAAATTTGAAATATTAGCCAAACCACAAGGTATGTTCGTAGAAAAGCAGAAAAATAGACACTGAGGTTAAAAACAGTAGATCTCATAGTGAAAACAGTAGAACAGGAGTTCGAGAGTGAAAACAGGAGATCTCCTGTTAAAACAGGAGATCTGGCAACACTGATTACCCTTGATATATTAGAAATAATAAACAATTGGTATCAATTTACTTTAAGAATTTATATAAAACTCAAGGTTAATATAAACACATTAAATTTTTAAATAATTATTTTTAAGTAGATCTATGAGCATTGGTTATTTAATCAATATATAAAAAAATTAATTTAATAATTTAATGTTATATTTTAATAATTTAATTTGATTTAAAAATAAACAATTTAAATCTCTTTAGTAAAATAAAAACTTACAATATAATTTCAGCTTTCTAATTGATTAATTTGATATTCACTTTCCAAAATTAGATGGTTAATGAGCCTCAAATTTCTTAAAATCACTAAAAAATAAAAAAATAATTAGATTTAAACATTATAAACAGTTTTTAAAATTAAATATTATAATGTTAAAAATATTAATACATAATTTACAAACTTTATTCTAAAACTTAAAAACAAAAATTTTAACATAAGGATACAAAACATATAATTGAAATCAATTTTTCGAGCTGTTTAATTTATTCCAAACAAAATATATACGCTAATTAAAGAAATCTTAATATTTAAATAATATTATTTTTATATTTTTACCTTAATTGAAGATCCCCACAATGATTTTTACACTACTGCTCGATATTGTTATTCAGGAAAAACCCCTCTAAATTATTGTCCTCACTTGTAATTTTAGCAACAGGGCGCACAATTTTTATCAGATTGATCTGCCAGTTCCTCTTGAGTATGATTAAAATGAATGTTGTGATGAACGTACAGGCGTTTTAATATGTTCAATTATTCTTGCATTTATATCCAACTAAAATTTTGAAATAAGTTATACAAGCAATGCTTAGTAAGCATATATATTATTATTATTAACTAAAAAATAAAAATAATTTAAATAAAACACACTTACCTACTTAAAATGTGCTAGTGGATACAAGAAAGAATAAACAAAACAGTACATCCTAGACCAATGGAAAATATAAGCACTGAATTTTTAGAAGATATTCTTTAACAAAGAACAGTTCTTTCAGACACACCTTAAAATTGTATTTGAATAGCTATATGAATTGCTAAATTGACAATATGAAATTTCGAGGTTATTAATTTAGTAATACAGTGTTACCAACAGATAAAAAAAATATTTTATCAATGTTGCCAATTCACTACTAACAGAGTGGTATACTAAATAAAAAAAATTTCGTAGCAATAAAAAAATATTTTTATTATAACCAAAAGAAATAAAAGTAAAACATTGTTATATATATATATATATATTTTAGGGAAAAAATAAAAGAACAAATATATATCAAACATTATTCTTTATTTAAAAACGATGAATTTCACAAATTGCACAATCTCGACCCATTATCAACTTTTTATCAACAACAATTAAATACATTGATTTTGATACTTTTGTATTATATTCCTCAATGCTCTCTTCACTAAAAAACTCATGAAATTTTTTTGGAAGCCAGAAAGAACCATCAGGGCCTAGATCTGCAACCACTGCACGTCCAATAAGTGTCTGCCGAGAAGAAACTGCATGCACTGAAAGGGGCGGTGGCGGCGGCTTGCTAGATATCCAAAATTCAGCATTTTCGCACTATAGTTCACACACACACACGTAAGGGCACTAATATTAATGTCAATATTTTCGCACTAAAGTTATTTTTATAAGAATTAGGGAAGTACTGTCTGTCCACTCTAAGTTGGCTGAACTAAGGAAATTTGTTGTTTAGATATTAAAGAATTGTCGTACTGTGTGCTTTTAAAACAGATTTTGTATTATAAATAATACTAGTATATAATATGTACTAGTATTATTTATAATATAAAATCTGTTTTAAAAGCACACAGTACGACAATTCTTTAATATCTAAACTACAAAATTCCTTAGTTCCGCCAACTTAGAGTGGACAGACAGTACACTTAATTTTAATATGTTTGCACAGCAGTTAAACGACGACGACGACGACGACGACACATATAACCACCGAAGGGCACTAATACGAATAGGTATATAGTTGTTATTCTTATATGAACTAGGCAAGTACAATTAATTTTGAAATGTTTTTGCACAACACACTACGCGTAGGTTAGAACTGGAACTAACGAGCTAAGAGCTAATGAGCATCAAAAAATTTACGCGTGACCTCGAGTCACGAGTTCATGCATGAATTGCATATTTTATATTAATTTCCAATTCCAAAATTTTTTTAATATTGGTTTTGGCGTTTGCCTCATCCAATAAAGCTGTGTTCATCTATTTAGAGAGAAAAAACATTAATTAACAAAATAAAATGTAAAAACTTGTAAATTACTTACGATTGGTTTTTTGGTTGAACAGAGAATAGTTTTAACTCAAAAACTAGCATATAAATGAATAATGTGTGGTTGATTTTATAAGCTTAGGTAAAGCGCGCGCCGACTCGCTACGGTTCTTATTTTTTATAAATAATATCTTTTGTCTGCGAATTTCTCTTAGTGAACAAATATCGTTAAACTTTTTCAATATTTCCAAAACCATACATTCAAAATCATTTTGATTTAGCCTATTATGAAGCGGTTTTAATTGTTCTATTAAATTACAACACCTTGTATGAATTTCTTCTTCAATTGTAGGAAAATTAATTGTAACATGATTATTTATATTTTTATGATGATTAAATAAAGCTGTAGAATAACAGGCACGTGTATCATAACGAATGGGAAAAAAAATCTGTTATATCGGGGTTGAAAAGTACAAATAATGGAGTTTACACCGCTTAAAAAACTTCGTTCAGCCTTTATTTCACACTCACGATCTATTTCATAAGAACAATTAATGGCATTTCTTATAAATTCTTCTTTATAACTTTTAAATATTAAATACATAAAACTTTCAGGCATTTTTAAAATTAAATTAAATTTAAATATTAAATGTAGCTTTAATTAAAAATGTATTTATACTATTTCTAAACAGAAAAATATTCTCACACAAAATGCTGATGGTGCATCAGTAGTTCCCCTTATCGCTAGCGATAATCCTACGCAGTTTTTTACTCTCTTCTTAGGCAGTCCTCTTACAAAATCAGCGCTTTTTTACGGAGCAGCAATAAAAAGCGTTAAGCCTTGTTCACATTAGACTCAGGGGACTGCTTATGACTCAAACATTGAGATATAATAAATATACCTAATTATTATATCTCGATGATCTCAAATCATTCAATCATAGTCTTCTATAACAATTATCACTTTAGTGTATACGAAGCTTAAAATACATTTTAAGCAAGTATGCGATTTAAGTATCAAAAATTGTATATTTTTGTTTTGGTAAATGGTTCTTTAAAATAGAAGTACGGGAACAAGGAAAAATCATTCCTAAAATAATTTATTTCATTAGAGGTTGTGTGTTTAAAAACTCATGTAAGTTTATTAAGTTTTTTTCTTTAATTTTTGATTTTAATTAATATATTAATATTTTTTAGCATGCATTTATTTGAAATTGTAAGAAGAGAAAGGAGAAATTTGAGATTTTTAAATGAAGAATTCCTCAACCCCATGTATCTGGATGAGGTTGAAGAATTTGATTATTTTGGATTATTATGGATGCACCAGGTGGGGTATGATGGAACATCCAGTTAATGATTGGAGCCACAAAGTGTGGCAAATTGGGGGAAAAATCCTAGATGTGTATGAGCTTTAATTATATATATATATATATATATATATATATATATATATATATATTAATATAATATATAATTTTTAAATTATTTAATGTTTTTACTTTTCCCTCCTTCTTATAGTATTTAATCAACTTTAAATAAAT